CAATAGATGTGCTTGCCCTTGTGGCCGGAGAGGAGCCTGGAAGAATGAGGCACATGGAGTCTGGCATAATCTAAACAGCTCTGTCTGAGGAAGAACCCACACATTTCTACTTGGACAGTTTGAGGAGTCTAGTGAAAACAGGGGTTTGCCGAGGAAGCAAGTGAGTAAGTCTGGTGTACTTTTGACAGCTCGTTCATGCAGAAGCCACCATCAGACATGCCTTCCTGCAAAAGAGAAAAGCAATACTATGCCCAGGCCTCACCACAGGCTCAGGGTGGCTTTGAAGGGGCAAGAGAACAATGCTTCCTGGAACCATGGGGAGACTTGGGTTCTTTGGGGGCCACTAGCTGTGAGACTAGAACATTGTTGAGAAGGCAGCAAATCACTGCCCTTGGAAAAGCTGGAATAAAATAATAAATACTGGTTAGATGTTTGCTGTTAACTGAAAGTCAGGCAGTTCGAACCCGCCCAAGGGTTCTGTGGGAGACAGACCAGACGAGCTGCTTCCATGAAGATTAACCAAAGCAAACACACTGCTGTCGTGTCCATTCCATCTCACAGAGACCCCACAGGACAGAGCAGCACGGGCCCACAGGATTTCCAAGACCGCAATATTAACGGAAACAGACCACCACAGCTCTCTTCTACAGAGTGGCTGGTGGGTTGGAACCATCGACCTTTTGGTTTGCAGCTGAACGCCATAAAGGTTACACCCAAGAAAACCCTACGGACAGTTCTCACGTGGGATTGCAAAGAATCAGCATTAACTAGACAGTGCACGATAACAAGTCAAGTTTTCAGTGAAATGTAATTACTTCATCCCACTCATCCATCAAAGAGCCACCTTTTAAAAGCCGCAGCTTTAAAGGTTAGCCTTAATTGATCGGGAGGCAGAACTTCCCATGCCCCACCTTCCTTCCTGAGCCAAATGCATCTGTGATTAAAAAGGCCAAGTGACCTTCATCTTGTTTCTCTTTGTGCATTTCCCCAGGAATGCGTCAGTAGCCACGTGGCTCCTCCCATCATCGCTAAAGCCTTCAGTCAGTCTCACCTGAAGACAGGTAATAGCATTGTGTTGTTCAATCTGTCAAGTTGGTCCTACTCTCATGGGGTTTCTGAGGCTTTTTAAAGATGAAGCAGAAAGCCTCATCTTTTTCCCACACTGCCTGAATTGGAACTGCAGATCTGTGGTTCTCAGTCCAGTGCACCTCCATGGAGCCACTGCACAGCGATGGAGAAGTGGTCACTGGAATCTCATCGTAACATGCAGTGGATGCTCGAAAGGGACGTCTACCTTCCTCTGATTTTGAAAACAGATGTGAGTTGAGGCTGAAATTGCTTTCCTGACTTTGCTCCTCTGTGTTCAGATCCCACAGTAAACTGAAATTTTACACAAGCCAACAGATTTCTAATGCCCTGCCAAGCAGACAATTTGATCATTAGAAATCAGCTCCCTAACTTTCCCAGTCCTGGAATTTCCAACGACTGAGGCAGACAATAGTTGCATTGTTCAAGTAAAGGAAGCAAAAATGAAAATGCAGAGATGGCGTTTGCTTTCTAATTCCTGCGTGGGTACTCCGAGCCCAGTTGGCACCAGATGACCCTGCTCTTGCTCTATCAAAACAGGGCCACCATGTGGCTCACTGGATTTAGAGCACCTTTGTAGAGATGAGGCACCTGAAACCATCACGCTCTAAAAGCTACTAGGACTGAGGAAGTACAAAGACATCTCCAAAGATGACAGTTGTGTTGATGGCAAGACGACATTAGTACTGTGTGCTTTGGGTGAAATGTCAGAACCCCGAAAGGAGGGCTCTGGCTCCCAGACATTGTTACTCTCCCCAACGCCTGCCTCTTCATTCAAATCTGCAGCTCCATCCTCTTCTCATCTGTGTATTCTCTCCCTCTCTCGTGCTTTCGCATATGACCACATGTCAAAGAGGATCATCAGAATGCATACACCTGATCTTTATCCCCATCTCAGGACCAAACTAGCAACCTGTAACTGGGAGATCTGGGGCAGATGCCACATGGGCCTCTCCAGCTCAGAGTGTCTGTACTTACACATTCGGGGTCTTCTCACATGATCTCCTAGATCATGGACATCCTATGCTGTTACAGACAACATGAATTCCCCAGAGGCACCTTTAGTTTGTCCCTTATCCCACCAGACTGTAAAGAATCCAGCCAATTCCGGGTGCTCCAAGGGGTCTGGTGCCCACAGTACTTCCCAGGCCTAAACTCGCATCACGTCCTGCCTGGATTGTCACAGCTGAGTTGTCTCCCTCCAATATGGGTCAGGTCACAATCCTAGCAACTAAAAAGGATGTAAGACTCCCTCTTTACCTGCTCAATAAATACAGATGAAAAGTAAGTAAATATAGAGGTAAATTTCCTTTGATTCTAGACAATAAAAACTTTCCAACAACTCCACCTGTGTGAACACGTCATAAGCTACCTTCTAATACAGGAAACGTCCTATTCTCAGGGCTCCTGGTGGTCAGCCTGTTCTGCAGAGGCTTTCTCTGCCTGCAAAGGAACCATGAGGAGAATGCAGACGTCAGAAAGAAGCTGGGCTAAACCACACGTGTGGCATTTCAGGTAGACAAGAGGCCACTTGAGACACCTGCCCAGCCCATGAATGCCAGAATGGTCCTCAGAAGCACCTGACCTTGTCTCCTGACCAGAGATGGTGGCATCGAGGGTGGGCCCTGACCTCATGGACCACCTTGAATGAGTGCAATCAGTCAATTCTCAGAAGATAGATATTGCATGTTCTCACTGTAGCTGGAAAGACTTAGAGAGCAGACTTAACCAGCAGACGCCAGGGGCAGGAGGGAGGGGGAAAGAGGGACAACTTTGTGGCTTAGGTGACCCTGAACTTGTTTATGGGATGTAAACATTGTAATAGATGTGGGTTCTTGTGGAACAGCATATGGGTGTAATTGGTTTGAACTGCACAAGTGAAAAATGGTGAATTGACAATGTTATATTACCTACATTTTTATAGTTTAAAAAAAAAAAAAATAGGTGAACTGAGAAATGGGAAGAGAGGAGTTTGGCCCACATCCTGTTATAGGCCGAGGTGGCCCACTGACTCATGCCCCAGAGCTTTCTGGTTCCTTCCACTCCCTGGAGGGTCCCAGGGAATTCACTGGTTTCCTTCCAGCGGCTTCCCTCTGCCTATTCTAGTAGGTTTCTGCTTCTTGCAACCCAAAGATTTTCACTTACAAGGCTTCTCCTTCAGTTTCCCAGGCCATTGAGTGGATCCAGGAAGATGTCTGCCTTGTGCCAGAGCTTTCTCACGAGTACGGGGACCTTGGAGTCAAGCTTGTGAACCAAGCATAACCTTGGAGGGCAGAGGGCCCAGGAAGTTGCCTGGACACAGACCCGTGATTAAGAAAAGTGAGGACAACCTTCCAGGATGTCGCAGACAGCGTAGGAAAGCGTCTCAGAGAGGACGCCATCTGGGGAAGCCTGGTCCCCACAGGGACAGGACCCAGGTTTACAACCGTCATAATGGTTTTCTGCAACTAGCACTTGGAACAGATGCATTTTATCAGGGAAAAGACAGTCAGAAGATATGGCCCTCCTCACCTAGGGGGCTTTACCCTCTGCCTGCCAAACAGAGTCAGGAAACCACTAAGACCTCTGAAACAAGCTGCCAGGGACAGCTGCCTGACCCAGGACTGGAAGAAGAGCAGCATGTGTCCACCTGGCTGCCAATGCCCAAATGCTCTACATGGTAAAGGTGACTCAGGCTGGGTCAAACTTGGTTTTCAAAGGGCCCAAACAAAGGACTGTCCACTATTAAATGACAAGCTGTAAGCCAGGCTTTCAAGGCTTCCAGAGAGCAGGACAGAAGGTCTCTCCTTTCAAATTACCTTCTCGTCTGGGGCTGACTATATCAGTTATGGAAATGGCTTCAGACCCCCAGTAGCTTTGATACAGGCCCGCGATGGAGGTGATGACAAGAAAAGGGGGGGGTGAGAGACAGCGAGAGGTCCCAACCCTGAAAACGAATTATCTGACTGTCTGGTTATAATCTTCGCAGAGCCAGCATATGGATACACAGACATACACAAATATACATACATATGTATGTGTATATGTGTAGTTTCATACACACACACACACACACACACACACACACATATATATATACATCTGCCACATTTATGAGCTAAAATTACAATGAAGATTAAAAAAATAAAATCGTGCTGCATAAAACATTCTTACAGAATTTATTTTTGCTCCAGTCTCGGGACTGAAATGTTCTGCTAACCCAGTGGCGCTGTGTGGTGATGCGATGAACTGCAAGATGGCTGAATCGCAAGATCAGAACTCACCAGCTGCTCCCCGGAAACCCTATACAGGGTCACTGCGGGTCGGAACCGACTCTATGGCACTTAACAACAACAACAAAGTTAACCCAGTGGTCTTATGACAGCACCTTAATAAGAAAGTCTGACCTCAATCCAAGGGCCTGAAACAGGGGGTTGGGGGGGTGCTTGTTTTCATGCCTTTTTTGTGAACAAACTTAATGAAAGTTAGGAACGATAACAGATGTGCCTAGGGTTTTTAACAGTTTCGAAGCTATGAACTGAAGCTTCATAAAAAATGATTTATGAAGGCTAAGATGTCAGGCCTAGGCTGAAATCACGCCCACTCTCTTCTGAGAGTGACCCTTATTTGTTCCATTACTCATTCCTGGAGGGGCCCTGCACCTCTGCTGGCCCCAATCCCACCCACTCGACAGTCTGCAGGAATCTCCGGTTCCTAACTTGGAACCTGAAGTCAGGGATGTCTTTTTGGCGCTGTTTGCTTTTCCTGAGACTGCGAGCCTGTTTCCCATCTTATTGGGTTGCTGAGGTATCATCTCAGTGTTTGGGGGGATTCAGTTTCAAAATACATTTCATTATTAATAAAAACAAAGATGAGGGAGACAATAAATAAAGGCTGAGCAGGGAACCTCTGTTTGAGCCAAAGCAATTCTTTACCTGTATTTGAAAGACTTTCGCTTCGTTCCCAGGCAGGGTGGTCTTTGGGGGATGGAAAGTGTCGGCTGTGGATCTGTAAGATAAACAGAAACTGTTCTCAGTCTTTCTTACATTTTTATTTGCCAGCTACATAATCTTAAATATTGCATGTTGCAATTTTTCAAAAAAATTCAGGAAACGTCCCTAGAATCTTCCCATTCTCCCAAGAAAGCACAGCAGATGGAAATGAATACTATTTCCATTTTCTTCTGTGTTCACTCTACCAATAAGTAAAAGGTGGGTATTTGATGATTTCAAAATATGCAAGAAGGATGGAAGTGGGGACGAGAAAAAGGATCACCAGAGAGCATAAATTTTGCGTGGGATTGTGCAAGTAGATCAGAAAACAACATCTGATGTGTCATTTCTATCTCGCCTTGAGTGAGCTAAAACTGGGCAGTCACTGAACACTGATGAACTAATTAACCATGAGCTATCAAATTCCAGGAATCTGCCCTCATGTCTATCAATGGCAATAAGGTAAATACATACAAAGACTGAGGGGGCTTCAAGAAGTCCGTGGAGAATGGATAAACAAACCGTGGAATATTATGCTACCTTGAAGAATAACAAGGAAGCTGCAAGATACTGCATAACATGGATGTACCTTGAGGACTTTATGTTGAGTGAGATTAGTCAGTCACAAAAGGAGAAATACTGCATAGGACCACTATTGTAAAATCTAAGAAAAAGAACCCATACTAAAGGGGGGTGCTATTTGCTGGTTACTGGGACATGGGAGGTGAGGTGAGGGGAGGGAGGGCAAGGTGGAGCACAGGGCAGGGAATAGACACAGGATAGTTTGGGTGCTAGGGAGGGGGCAGTACACAAGAAGGGAGAGGGGAATGGAAGAACAAGGCAGATGGGAGAACAGTTAAGCAGGTTTGCATGGACAAAGTAGGACAGAGGTAAAGAATGATGTATGCACAACCTTGGAACAATAGGGCTCTTGGATACAAGGATTGAGACATGTTTGGAAAGGGCAAAAGCAGGGGAAACAATGTTAAGAGGCTTGGTTGTCTTTTGAATCTTGGTTTCCCTTGCATACCATTATAAAATAGACACTGGAGTGGGAGAGAAAGGAATAGCCAAAAATATCACAATAGAAAGCTTGTAAGTCCATATTCTGTCTATAACTGATTAGAATACCTAAAATGGGGCTACAACGTGCCCAGTGAAAGATGCTTCCCGTGGAGCCTCTGCAATACATAAGACCATAGATGGAATCCTGAACCACATACAGAATCTTCTGAGGTGGGAAATTTCCACTTGAAAAGACAAGCAGACCAGCTGGAGTGGCTAGAAGAACAGACGATACTTCTTGAAAGAAAGACCGACAGGAAAAATACAAAACAATAATGGGAGTCTGACTGACTACTATAAGAACAAGCAAGTTACTTGTCCAGGAGACATCAAGGCAAGTGGTCGGGTCCCCTCAGGGCAAACCCCCTTCCAAGACTAAGACTCAATGGGAATATACAAGCAGGCATGCGCTCTGACTGGTGACCGCATTGGTCACCGATAAGGGGAAGTGAGGGAAAAACAGCAATGAAGCTGCAAGCTAAGTTCAACCATGTTTAAGAGACTCCTGTGAACCTGGGTAGAGACCTGGTTAGCCAGCAGTTTGGTAAGACCTG